AGAAAAAAAAAAAAAAAAAAAAGGTCCCAGATTTATACATTGTACTCTGAGGGAAAAGTGTACTTTAGCTTTGTGGTTGTCGTTGGCTCTTTTTGGACTATATTCCAAAAACCTGGACTAGCCATGACAAAGTAACCTTTACCTCTGCAGTAGCTAGGTTTACTCTGCCTAAGTGGAACTGCTGGCTGTAATTCTGATTCTGGAGCTTTAAGTCATCTGTTTGTTATTTTGGACCTTGAAGATAATAAGTATTATTACAGTAAGTATCATTTCAAAAAAGATGTGGAGAAGCTTGAGAGGGTGCAGAGGAGAGCCACACACATGATCAGAGGGCAGGAAAACAGACCTTATGATGAGAAGCTGAGAGCAATGGAGCTATTCAGCCTGGAAAAGCGCAGGCTCAGGGGTGATCTGGTGGCCACCTATAAGCTTAATCAGGGGTGCACAACAGGATCTGGGAGAATGACTGTTCACCAGAGCCCCCCCAAGGGATGACAAGATCAAATGGTCACAAACTCCTCTGTGACCGGTTCGGGCTAGACATAAGAAAGAACTTCACTGTCCGAGCCCCCAAGGTTTGGAACAGACTGCTACCTGAGGCAGTTCAAGTGCTCACTTTGAATGCCTTCAAAACACATTTGGATGCTTACCTCGCTGGGATCCTATGATCCCTGCTGACTTCCTGCCCCTGGGGTGGGGGGCTGGACTCAATGATCCTCCAGGGTCCCTTCCGGTCCAAATGTCTATGAAATTATACTCCTTACATTCCTATAGGGATTATGTTAACTCATTACATTGCATCTACGTCACATCCTCAAGGTGGGGACAATATATTTTATTTGTCAAGTCAAGTGTCAAGCATGTGTTAATTCTGGTATCAATACTAATGACAAAGCACTAAATGATTCCAGGTTTTGGCAATTACATTGAAACCTCTCACTTGCAAGATTTACTCCCCAGACTGGATCTCCCTGCTGTGTTCTGAGAAAAGGATCTCAGCTGGGTGCAGGGATTGGGTCAGCCCCTGCACGTTTCCTTTTTCACGTCCTTGTGACACAGTATTTAGCAGAATTCACAGATTTTGTTGCAAGGCTTCTGTTATGGACCCCTTCATCTATGATTGTTCCTATGACTTAGGAACAGGCCTAGTTAAGTCACAACTGCCACACCTCTCTGTGTTGATCTTGCTCTGGGCTTAATCAAAAGGCTACAGAAAAGAACAGTCAGGACAAGGATAAGGGAAGCTAAGTCAGCCTCAGACATCCTGGTCCCCCTCCTGTAGGTATACCAAACAACACTGGGCACCTGTACACATGTCAAATGTCTGCTCCAACACATGCTAATTAGCACATTAGCACACTCAGTGTTAATCAAGTTTGCTGAAGCATGATAATTAGCATGCTCCAGCAGCTTCTGTGTCAAAGTGGCTGGGGACGTCCCTGCCACCACTTTGAAGTGCAGGGACACTGAATACATGTGATGGTGTGGGCAGTTTAATTAGAGCCACTCTCTACCCTCTCCACCTCAAATCACGTGTAAAGATGCCCATTACAATCAGTTTCCCTCCCCTACAAATATCTTCAGGAAGACACTCAAGATTTTGCTTGGAACTTTAAACACTCAAGATTGGGTTTAAAAACTTGGGCAATTGCAGATAAATTGAAACAGCTAGGAGAGCGTGGAAATCTTGTTACTTCTGAAAGGCAGAGAAAGCATAATCAGAAGCAAAAATACTTTGTAACAAGCAGGTGGCCTGCTGCTCTCTGAGACAGACAGATGTGGGTCCCAAGCCTGCAGGGATAAAGCATATTACTGAACAAGAGACAGCATCAGGCACTACTCTCCATCACCCTTACCAGGAAGTGATAACAAAGAAAGAATCCTAAAGGGCTCTGGGAGGGATCATAGCTGGCTTCCTTTCCACTGAGCCATGCAGGGGATGTAAAAAATTATAATGATAAATTCAGGAATCCTCTTTCCATGGAGCAGTCCCCAAGGAACAAAAACATGAATTATGAGAAAGGAAAGTTCAGGAAAACAGAGGAAATACAAGCAGTTCAGATCCAGTTGCAAGTGAAAAAATTAGCAACTGCTAGCAGGATCATCTAAGATATGCTGTATTTTGTGATAAAGATGAAGGTTTATACTACCTATCAAAACAACTATGAATGTAAAAAACAAACAAACCCAACAACCCATCTTGTCTCCACAATGTTTGCTTAATTATTTCAATAACATACCTTTTAAAGTCTCTAAACAGTCTAAATACTTGCAAAATTCTGTATGCACATACAATATCCTAAGAAAAATTAAATCCCAAGCTATATTTAAAATATATACATATGCTTTCTACCCATCTTATTTTTTCTTTTACCAGAGTTCTGTTTTAACACCTTGATATGCAGTCCCACTTTCTCCGACTGCCTTGTTTAAGCAAGTCAGTCATAACAAGTCAACTTGTATGATAATTTTTCTTACTCACCAGCTTTCCAGAAAGAAATGGTAATACTTGAACAGTGACAGATTCTTACATTCAGGGATTATACACAAGGGATCCATTTACATAACTGAGAACATAACAGACTGGAAGACGACAAATGTTACACCTGACTCTGGGCTCTGATGAGGACAGCAATGGAAAATATACAGTAATTCTATTCATAAAGGGCAATTAGAGGATATAATAGGGAAAAAAATCAGAAGCTCTAACTGGTAAGGATGTTCAAGAAAGCATAACATCAAAAGATCAAACTTAATTTAAAAACAGGTAGGTAAGAATTCATCCTACAGAGAGGATGAAACTCACCACCTGGCTAACAGCCTAACAAGATATATTCTCCGAGCCAATTAGCAATTCACTTACAAGTAAGGTTCTATATGCAAAACCCTCCCAGATGCAGATGCCATTTATTTTGGAGATCTCACAGCAAGAACTCTGATTCCTTCAAGTACAGTGATTACAAAATTCTTTGGTTTAAGAAGCTACTCACCAATCCTGGAACCAGAGCGGCAAGTTCTGATTCCCTTGGAATACACTCTAAAATCTAATTAAGATTATACAGGCCTGTAATCCTTTGGCACTCAGATCATTAACTGGGCTCTCCTGTGTCTTAAAATGTAATCAGCTTGCATCTCTTTAAGGGTAAAACTGATACTGCCAAACCAAGTAGGTCAGCTGTGGTGGGTGCCCACTTTATTAGGTGAAACACATCACCTGTTATCCCACATTGGGCAGGGGTCAGAGGCAGGAGAAACAATGTATTCCCAGGGTACACACTATAGGGTCCCTCAAGCCCTCAAAGTACCCAGGGCAAGCAGCTCCAGGTTGCTCTACTCCCCTGCCACAGAGCAAACAGTTGTATGCCACAATGAAACTACACTATTTTACACTACCTTTTCCACAGTGACTGACGTGGTGTAACAAATATTAGGGACATCTATTTGCTCACCAGTTTTGCCTCCCTAAAAATGTTTATGGCAGCACAAATGTGATGTGATGTCTGTTTCTGTCTTAAGAGGTGGTGTTTTATTGGCCCTTAAGCCTAGGAAAGGGCTGTTTTGCACCTTATGCAAAATCCATCCAGATAGGAGCGTGTAAACAGGTGACCCCCTCACCTCCATCACTTGTAAAGCAGCACAGACGCAATGGATTTATGGTCCAAACTCACTCCCTTGTCCAGATATGCACTGGCTATTAAGTAGCTTATGTGCCTGGGAAAGGACTGTTATTCACAAATATAAACTTTAGTCTACTCTTGAGCTACTAGGGCTTCTTATACAGTTCATCCTACCTTTCTCAGCTCAGAAAGACTGCTATCCTTTTCTTGAATTGTCATAAGACCCACCTGGTTCCATGACCACAGATAGCCAAAAAAAGACACCCCTGTACCGTTATACTGTACATAAGTAGCACCAACTATAAAATTAGTTTATTTGAGATTTACCTTGATATTCTACCAATACAATAAACACTACAGTCTCTAATATATGTCAGCAACCATATAAGTAGGCATGGCATGCAATTAACGGAGTTGTGACATAACAAAAATTAAAGTCAACTAAATGAGGTGATAAAAAAAATAAAATGAGCCATTTCATTTTTCAGAAGAACAGCTTTATTACAACTGAAAAGTTTGGTTTAGCAAAAATGAGAATATACTACGCAGAGTTTCCAGAATATCAGCAAAATATATTTACTTTGAGCCAGTTCACGTCTCTAGTACATAATCCAGTGACATACGGAACTCCTGGAGGAAGTTAACTTCTACATTACTTCATTTTTCAGTTCCCATTATATTTGATATAACAACTGTATTTGATCTACTGTAGCTTAACACTAAATTGTTTTGGAAAACTATCTTTAGGAAACATCTGTAATTTTAATCAAATGCAAGAAAATTCACAGCTGAAACTTTAGCTTCATATTATTACAACCAAACAAAATAAAAATAAAAAGGAGATTAAAGCTGCTTGAATTTTTATATATACAAAAGAATTAAAGCATAGCTAAAATTTTCAGAAAATTTTACACTTACTCTGGTATTAATGGGAGTATGGTCCATGCACCTTCATGCCTGTCCATCTGATGAATAAGTAGAACTCTAGGTAATTCCTTTAAGAAAAACAAAAATATTTACAGCAGACATCTTTACAATGTATTTGCTAATTTTGAAAGAATTCTTGTTAAAAGGCTGTTTTGCTGTTAGTTATTTTTATAAATCTTACTTGCAAATGGATTAGCAAATTAAACAAGTCTGCAGATGCTATGAAAGTATTCATCTCAGGTTAGAGAAAGAGCTTCTTGACATTCTTAATTTCTAAACATATCCCTTGACTTTAAAATTAATGCACCTCTGAACTCTATAAACCTCCTTACTACAAGCACACAGCAACTCCAAGCTTCAAATACCAGGGGAAAAAAAATCAATATCATTGTAAAGCTCAATTGTATCCACCAAATACTTATTAGCTACCTTCAGAATAATATTTTTAAACATTTATGTTAATAAACATATAAATAAAACTATTTTAAAAACCAAACTAAAGTCAAAAAGACCCGGCTTGAAAAAGATCCAGAACGTCTTTTAAAATTGCAGTTATTCCCATCAATGGATATTACTAGTCTCATCAAGATTTCAGTCACCTGGTATTTTATGTTAATATGATATAAGAATTCCCACCATGCTTTGTCATGGTATATTTTTATGAATGTCACCTATACTCTCCTAGGGGGTTAATAGGTAAGAAAGTAATAAGCCAAATATCTTTCTTCACTTAGGTAAGTTAGTGTTCTATCCAGATTCTGCAGAGACTGTGAATCTGGCAGAGAAACAAATAGACAATAATCACACATTTAGTGGTCTTACACTGAGAGGAAAGGATGAACATGATCAGCAGTTATTGGCAAAAGGTACCAGGTAAACGACAATGTAAAAATGGAACAAGTATTAGGGGTGTGCAAAGCAGGCTGGATTTGGCCCGAATCAGGGATAGTGATTCGATTCGTTGATTCAGAGCACTGTCCCCGATTCAATTCAGCCGAATCCCAGTCTGAAGATTTGATGCTTATTTGAAGAATCAGCGATTTGGACATAGACACAGCTTTAAATGTTTTTTCTACATACCTCGAGGTACCAGGCGGCTCATGAACACTGCAATGCTGGGGCACATGGAGTGTCCCACAGAAGCACAAGGGGCTCCCCAGCGCACTTGGCAGCAAACCCAGAAGTGGAACAGAAGCACTTCTGGTCTACTTCCAGGTCTTCCAGGGAGCACACTTGGGAGGTCCCCCTGTATCCCCCCAGCTTGTAGATTTGTGCCTCCTGGGTCTGTGGGGAGGGGCACCCAAGGTCCCCCTGTAGCCAACTGCCAAGCCAGGGGCCCCAGCACACTCCCCGGCAGACCCATAAATGGACCGGAAGTACTTCCGGTCCACTTCCAGGTTCGCCACCAAGCACATGGCAGGGCCCCCCATGCTCCTGTGGGATGCTCCATGCGCCTCAGCATCACAGCGATCATGAGCTGTGTTGGTACCTCAAGGTATGTAGAAAAAACTTTTGAAGTTGTGTCTATATCTGAATCTCCAAATCAATTCGAAGGGTTCTGATTTGATTCAGAGAGATTAAAGGGGCCTCTAATTCGATTCGGATTTGGAAATTCAGCCACGAATCTGGCAGAATCTCCCTCTTCCCCAAGCCAGGGACTGCCTGGTGAGCTAGAAGCTTTTCCATGCTGCTGCCCTCCCTTTCCAGACTGGTCTGGAAAGGAAGGGAAGCAGCAGCCACTACTCCTTACTTCTTCCCCAGACTGGGAACTACCTAATGTGGGGAAGAGGTAGTGGGCTTTGCTATATTGTTCCCTCCACTCCTAGGGACTGCAGGTGCCAGATTTAATGTGCTGCACACGGAGAAGCCTACCCCTAGATGGCACATTCAAAGCTGGTGCCACAAGCCTGTTGGGATCCCCAATCTGGGAAGCACATAAGGAGACTCAGCCTTTTACTCCAGTCCCCTGGTACAGGGAGACATGGAGATGGTTCTGCTCCCCATGAATCAAACATTTCCACCACTAGAAATGAATGCTTGTTCAAGGCATGAATAAAGTGGTAAAATCACATTCTCTTGCTCCAAAAGCTCTCATCTGTGAAGTGTCAGTGAACAAGAATAGAGGAAAAAAGACTTTCCCTCACATTGCTCTGAGGCTCCTCTGCTCAAGGAAATAGAGGGGAAATCTGATTCTAGCATTGTATATTCTTAATATGAACCATCTCTTATAGGCTCTTTCGTTCTCCTTCTAAAACCAGAAAACACTGGGGACACTATCTTCCTTCTACTTACCTCCAAAATTACAGCAACACTACTCCACTCCTAATACTCAAAGACTGAAGACACTGCCTTTGTTCCACCAAAAAAAGTGTTTACTGAGAGACAAAGTGCAAGTAAACAGGCATCCATGCCACTTGTCATGCCACAAATGCTTGAAACTCTGGCTGCACTAACAGGTGGTAACAATTTGTGCTACTTTTTGGGGGCAGACCTCCATTTGATTTATGGCAAGAGAGCACAAGCAGCCCAGAGCTGCTTCAAGTCTCCAGCTGCCCTAAGCAGGGACTCCTAGGACTTCTGGGGCCTGGTCCTGTACACCATGGGAACTCCCCTGCATGGAAACACCTGTTGCATTTCCCCACTTGCAAAGGCATGCCCCAGGAATCCCCCAACATTTCCAAGCTGCAGCACTCTGGGTCAAGATGTAGCACCTGGGGCCGCTGTCCTACAGGATCAGGCCCCTGGAGCCTTGGGAGCAGAAGGGCCTGTCCCAGGGGAACAAACAGGAATGTGTGGTTTTACTGATAGATACATACTAGCATAGCTGCTGCCATGTCAAAAACTGACATGTTTCTAGCCAAACAGGGTGTATCTACATGAGACACTTTACTGAACAGCAGACATTCATCTACTGCGCAGTAAAGCGTAACCATGTATATATGCGCACCATTTACAATGCAGTAAATTAGTTTATTGTGCAGTTAGCTACTACTTGTAAATACAGGTAGTAAATTGCCCAGTAGATACTGTGCAGTAGTGAATGTGTAGACTCTGGAAGCAAAGTTGCTTCTGGTCAGCCCCAACACCAGGGTTCCAGCACTGCTTAGTTCCTGGCTCCCACCCAGGAGCCAGAAGCCAAGCAGCACTGGGACAAGGTAGCTCTGCCCCCGACTCCTCCGCCCTCCACAATGCTGCTCAGCTTCCAGCTCCCCACAGGAACTTGGAGCCGAGCAGTGCTGGGACTGGCAGGTTCTCTATTTCCTGTGGGTATGGGGACCAGCCCAGTGCTCCCTGCCAGCCCCCAGGCTAACACCCCAGGGAGCCTGGAACTCCCCTTAACTGCTGCAGGGGGGCAGAGTAGAGTAGGAACAGCCTTGTACTGGACTACTCCCAACAGGGAGCATGAGTAGACATGCTCCCAGGGAAGGCTTAGTGCGTAGTTAGTATTTTACTCTTATTTATAGGAACTCTTCTAACACAGTAAGTACATTTCTCCACAGAATAGCTCTCACAGAATAGCTCTCTCTCATTCACCATGTGTCTAGTAAAATTGCTCACTTTACCTACTCTATTCTTTATTGTGAACACAGAAAAAAGAATTTCATCATTTCAGTTTTTAACTGAAAATTCTTGGGAAGGGCCAGACAGTCAAGGTTCCAGTGAGTGTAGAGCAATTTATAAGCCATCTGGGAATAGTATGTATATCCAAACAGACTCTTTCCCTGATTACTGAAGCTAACTATGTGAGTAACTCACAGCATGCTATTTCCCTTACTTAATTTTTCTCAACCAGTATGTTTCAGTTAGCAAAGCACACATGCCTGACTGCACATTATACTTAACACATGCCAAGTTTAATGTTTTAAATCTGAATGGTTTTTGGCATTATCAGAATAAAAAAAATAATTAAATGTTTTAATGCTTATTAAACTGTTTTCCCTGCCTCCTTAGAAATCAAAACCAACTCTTGATTTTTTTTCCTCAATTTTTTAAAAACGTCTGCTGTTCGGCAAAGCAGCATAACACACTTTAGCTGACAATATAGCAGGCACTGCGCACCAATATCTAGGAAGTAATTACAGTACTTATTGACAAGAGAAACAACAAATGTGTGAAGTGATTAAGTAAAAGTCTTCAAAGCAATTTATAATCATTAAAATATTATCTTATAAATTACTAGATTAGACATTTAATAGATGTTAATTGTCAGACTAGATCTTAAAGCATAATTGAAAACAATTGGCAGGGTTCCTTCCTACACTAATATATATAACACATCCTAAGTAATTGCTATATGCTACTGCTTATCTACGAGATACAATACAAATTATGATAATTGGACTTCAACTACAAGTCAACGATCTAGACTTGCTAGACTGTCATGAAGCCATATACAATGCTATAGAAAACATAGCAACACCACACCAGAAAGGACTTCCTGAGTCATCAAATACATTCCTCTGCTTTGATCACCATCAAATCCCTTTCATAAATTTCTCAAGCCTTATCTTAAAACTATGCAGATTTTCATTGCTACTACTTCTATCTGGAAAGCAGGTCCAGATCCTTGTTTCTGTGATGCTCAGACATTTTTTTTTAACTTCCAGTTTAAATTTATTCATAACCAGTTTATACAAATTTGCTTTTTGTTCTTTGGCTTAAGTAGCTCTTTTCCCAACTTAGTAGTCACTGCCTTGGTATGTTCTTAGAGTGAAGTCTTATCCCCATTTCAGAGTTCATTTTGCTAGGCTGAACAAACCAAGCACTTTCAGTGTCCCACTCTGAATATATATGCACTCATTTCTTTGACAAAAGAGAGTTAACTTATTACATCTAAAAGCCTTCCTTAAATTTTCCTTTAAAATACATGCGATAGTGTAGGCCTCTAAAGGATTTCTGACACTGTGAAAAGATAATGCAAGTCTTCTAGCTGTAAACTCAAAAGGGCAGTAAATACAACGGGAATTAATACTGTCACATGCTATATTAGCATGAAATCCTTTTTATGCTAGAAAAATATATTCATTGAAAAACACAACATACATTTAGGATTATGTTAATTTTAAAT